CAGTCCAGTCGTTTTGTCGAAAATGCTTTCCTACGCGGAGAACTTCACGAAACCATCTACAAGCTACTTTGACCCACACCATCCTCATCATACAAGTTGGCTCAAAAATGCCATCTATGGCCTTAAATAAAGTCCCCTCCAATGATTCAACACTTTCACCAACCATTTGCTCCGCTTCGAATTTTACCGCAGCATTATTTATCTTTTACGGTCACCCATGTCTCAATCTACTTACTCCTGTATATCGACGACATCTTAGTCAGCAACAACAACTCAGCCAAAATCAGTCATCGCCTGACATGACTAAAGCAACACTTTCATATGAAAAATCTGGGCAACATTTCAATTTTTCTCGGCATAGACATCAGTTTGTTTTCTTCCTTGCTCAAGCTCACTACGCCTCGAAAATACTTCAAACTACAAGTATGACAACTGTAAAGCTGCACTAAATCCCTTCTCTTCAATGCCTCCCACCTCTCTCGAGCTCCACCAACCATATGCCAATGCATTCCTATATCATCAACTAGTTGGCTCGCTCCAATACCTAACCATGGCAAGGCCCGACATCAACTTTGCGGTAAAGATATTATCGCAAAACATCATGAATCCCAGCTGCTACCACTTTCAACAACTCAAAAGACTATTGTGGTACATTAAAGTAACTCTTAATTTCAGCCTACCTCTCCTCCCAAGGCCTCTTCTATTCCGCAGCTACTCCGACTCCAGCTGGGCAAGTAATTCCTATGACTACCGCTCAATCACCGGTTATTATTCCTTCCTCGGGCCGAACCTCATATCTTGCCAGGTCAAGAAACAACCCACCATGACCCGCTCATCTATGGAAGCTGAATATCGCACCCTCTCTACGGCAGCAACCTATGTAAATTGGCTCTGACGGCTTCTCCAGAATCTTTGAGTTCCTATCTCCCAACCTACTATCATTCACTGCAATAAAACTTCTGCATTGGCCATTGTCCGTAATACAATATTTCTGCACGTACTAAGCACATCGAGATTAACTATCACTTCACCTAAAAAAGGATTCAGATCAGAGAACTTGGCATTTAACACAAACCAATTCCATTCATGCACAGGGAGTAATATACTCATCTTTAAACAACAGGGTTGTATTGATCGGTCCAATTGTTAGCAGACTAAAAACCGTTTCTCCATCAGACTGGTCGGAACTAGACTAAACCGGCGGTTCAACCGGAGAACCAATGGAAGTTAGAGACGCACATTTTTTTTTTTTTGAAATTTTATAGTGATACGAAGTATTTATAAAACTATCCATGTAGGACCAAATGTAGCTGGGAGAACTTCTATGTAGATTTTTAGTAATATTCATGCATACTAATTAAATCTTATTTATTTATATATCTAATACCTAAACTTGTATTTTTTATAGTTTTATGAATATTTACATGCATACCACTAAAATCTTATTTATTTACATATCTAACACCAAAACTTTTAGTTTTTTATATTTTTATGAATATTTACATGCACACCACTCGAATCTTGTTTATTTGCATATCTAAGAGCTAAACTTGTATTTTTGTATTTTTAGAAATATTTACATGCAGACCACTCCAATCTTATTTATTTACAGTCTAACAACCTAACTTTTCCTTCTTATACTTTTAGGATTATTTACTTGCATACCACTGAAATCTTTTTTTTTTTCTTACATTTCTAACACCTAAACTTGTATTGTTTTTAAATATACCGCTTAAATATTTTTTAAAAATAAAAAAAAATAGCATTTGTCTAATACAAACAAAAAATTAACATAAATAGATATAAATAAATATTACTATTTAAATTTTTCGAGCCAAGCATACCGAACACGAAAAAACAATTATTTATTCGTATTCTTCTCTTTTATAAATCGACCCTAAAAATATTTGAATTATTATTTTATTAATTTATTATTGTTTATGTAGGCCATATTTAATTTTTTTTTATTTTTTATTATGTCATCTGGTTCAACCCCATTCTAACTAATGAGTCTTGAACCTTTCTTTCTTTCGATCTGATGTCTTGTCCTATTTTCACAACCTTGATTGTATACAAGAGCATTTACATAAATACCACTAAATTCCTATAAATTTATATATCTAACACATATTATTATTTTAACTTTTAAAATGTAATATATAACTTTCATAGATAAATAAAATGATATGCAAATAAAAATTTAAGTTTAGGAATTAGATATGAAAATACATTGAAGTCAAGTGACATGTATGTAAATCCTCTATTTTTAGGCTTGTGCAACGACTGGTAATACTATGCACGTAGAGTTACGTGCGGAGTCCAATGA